ATTCTCCTTTTCTACAGTAAATCACTTCTCATTTTCATCCACACTTTCTTTAATATATTAATATTTTCCATCACATCAATTATTTTTCTTTTATTTTTAACTACACAATCTCCTTCAATCTATCATTCAATAATATATTATTTCAAAAGAATGTATCTCAAAAACACTTTTAATCAAATCAGCTTTAATTAAGAACATAAAAGGTATTTAAATTTTTTAGAAGAGCAAAATAGTTCAAAAGTAACATTCTTGTAAAGATTATTAAAGGATGACATTTTTCAAAATTTCAATTCAAAAAGTGACATGGGTGCAATTTTCTTTTCATTCTCTTTTGTTTTTGGTGCAAGAGTTTTTTCTCCGCGTTCACACAGGCCACAGCTGACATTAGTTTAAATTGAAGGAAGTCGACAAGCTTTTGGTCAAATGGGGTCCACAGTTTGAGTGAATAAATTGTTAAAAAATGATTTCATATACATCCATAGGGCAAATCGAACTTTGTCAATGAAGCCACTATTGTTGACTGCTTTTATATTTGTTTGTTGCCATAGTTAGTCACTCATTTACATTATTAAGCCCTGCTTGGACTTTTTTGAAAAATATTGTTATGAATCATAAATTTTTGAGAATGTGTGGTTAAAAAGTAGAAAAATAAATTTTAAATTTAGGTGTCGAATATTTTATTTTATAAATATATGATTGAAAATAATTATATAGAAAAAGAATTTTGAAAAAATGAGAGATAAACGGTGATTAAACTTCATGAGTACCACATAAATGGACCAAAAAATGATTTTTTTTTGGCACAAAAGTATTGCCAGACGGGCACTTGATGTTCGAGTTCTACTGAGATTTGATATTTCCTGTTAAAATGTCAACATGTTCAATAATAGTTAAAGTCTTTATATATTAGTTAGGACCAGTTTGAAAAGTCAAATTTTTCATGGAAAATGGAAAAAGAATTCCACTTTCTTGGTTTTGGTTTGTTTGATGGTCAAAATTTTCTAAGCCAATTATTTTTTTGCCTCCTGCTCCACGCGCCAAAGTTCCTTGTTTTTGGTGAATACATTTTCCCACCTTTTAGGTGGGAAAATGGAATTCCATTTTTGCTGTTTTTTTTTTTTTTTTGTGGTTAATGGAAGCAAATTTCATAATCAATTGTAAAAAAAAATTATTTTAATGGACAATTTTCATGTAAAATAAAGCCAAACGTACACTAAACTTTGATAAAAAAAAATGATTTCTGGGAAAAAAAATTTCTTTTTTTTTTTTTACTTTTTAGCAATGGAAA